TTTTTTTAGCTCATTTGACCCTTTCTTTCAGAAAATTTTTTTTTTAAGCTTTCCCATTTCTCTCTGACTTTGCCAGAAACCAGCATCGTGCCATCGCACTGGCTACCGCTTGCCACCGGTGGTAGCCAATGGTCGAAAAAGATAAAAAAAACCCCTAGAAATTCTCATCGACCTGATCTTTTCAGATCTGATCTTCTTTTCATCAAAAATAGTCCCAATTGTCGTAGATCCAACTTTGAAGTTTCAGTCTTTTTTTTTGTTTTTTTTTTAATCCTAACTGATGATTTCTTTTCTTTGTTGTAGTTGGCTTTAGCACTGAGGCTCTTCTCTTCAGAGAGGGCTGTGTTGTTTTTCTGTGTTTTTATTATTTTCTTAGTGTTTGGCTTTCTGTTTGGGAGGGATTGGGAGATTTGAATTTTCTGATTGCAAGGTTTTTTTTTTTTTTTCTGGTTGTGGAGGCTTAGGGAATTTTAGGCGTGAACGAACTGTGGTTTTTTTTTTTGTGTTTGAAGATGTCTCCCGAGAACAAGGTGTATGTATGCATGTCTGAACGCCTGAAAGGGGAGGAAGTTGGGTTCTTTATAGGATCCGACGTATGTTCGGGACAGTAGGTGGTCTAAGGGTTGTAGGGGGTGACTGTAGGTGTCTGTAGAGCGTGGCTGTAGGTGTATGTAAGGATGGCTGATTTGGTTAGATCATAAGCGTGGCTGGTCTGATGGTAGTAGTCTGCTAGTTGGATTAGGCTGGGTGGTTGGTTGGATGAGGCCGACGGTGCCACCATTTTTTTTTTAATTAAAATTAAAATTTTATTATATTTTGTTTAATTAATAAATACTAAAGTAAAATAATAATAATAATAAAATAATTATAATAATTATAATAATAATAATAATATGTAAATATGCTTTGGGCTTAAATAATGAGATTGGGCTTCGGGCTCGATTGAATCAGATTGGGTTTGAAACCCAGTTGAATCAGAATCGGGCTTGGAGCCCAGTTGAGTCAAAATTGATCTTAGAGCCCAGTCAAATCGGAATCAGGCCTGGGTCTAAAAAACCCAATACGCGACGAACTTTAAAACGAGACTTGAGTAAAAATCGGACAAATTTGATGTCTACACCATTCTTTTACTTTTTTTTCTTTTTTTGTGTAAGACTTACTAGATACTGAAAATATGTCATGTGTTTATTTTTTATTTTACATATATTTAATAAATAATGTTTTAGATTTTTTTGTGAGATCCACTTAATATCAAGAGTATGACACATATTAAATTATTTTATTTTTTCACTTTTTTATATTTAATAAATATTTTTTAATATTTTAAATATGAACCCGTTTGATATTATTATTAAATATATTTTTTTGTTACTTTTTTTGATTTGATAATTTATAAAGAAAATGATATTAGCAAAAGTGTTACGTTACATTCAGATTTGATTTTTAACTTTTTTTAATTTTTCATATTTTTAATTTTTAATTTTTAAAATTCATTATATAAATTTCAAAAAAGCCTATTAGTCTTTTTTTATCCTTTTTTTTTAATTTTTTAAATCTATTACGAGATAATAGATTCTTTTTGTAAGCGTGATAATAAAAAAAATAAATCTATTAGAATGTTAAATTAAATCTATTAGCGTGGTAACTCTTTTTTTTTTTTTAAGTATGCTAATATATATATTTATCTTATTTATTTTTTAGTTAACTTTTTTTAAAATTTAAAATTTTTAATTTAAATAAATTTGATAAAAAAAACTCAATAAAAGTACCCACGTGGCACTCCAATTTGTTTTTTTAATTACATAAATTTTGTAAAAAAAAAACTTTTGAATTTGGTTTTTTTTTTTGTCTATTTCATCTTTTTCATATATTTTAATTAGACAAAATTTGTAATAAAAGTATCAATTTTAGAGATAATAAAATAGTTCTTGTTGAATAGATTTCGATCTATTTTAATTTGATATAGATTAACCTTTTTTTAAAAAAATCAAGTTAGAATAGGTCAGGCTTTTATAAAATATGATGTATATTGGACGATTTTATGTTTAGGTTGTTTTATCCAAACTTATTTTGAGATATATATAAAAATATATATTTTATTATTTTAATTTTTTATATATATATTATATTAATAAAATTATTATTTGATATTTTAATTTAAAAAATTAATATTTTAAGCTTAATTGAAGTGTTCATGTGATACTTTTTATGAGTTTTTTTAAATTTTTTTATATTCATATATTATCTTTTTGTATCTTTTACTTTTCGTCTTTGTTTATTAAATTGAAAAAATTTATAAAAAAATAAATAATGATGACAAAAATAAAATTTTTTTAATCCACTAGAAAGCACGGGTATCCATATAGTAAGATATAAAGAACGTTAAATGGAAAAAAAAAAAAAAAAAGTTATTCTTCGTTTTTTTTTTTTTGGATGATTAAACCTAGGGTGGTCATAGACTCTACAAGAAAAGACAACCCAGATCACAAATTTCCAAAATGGTTAGGCCTTACCCATTACCGGGGGAAGAGGTATACCAAGCCCAAAGGAGTGAAAGTGAATCTAAAAGTTAAATCAGTTGACTTGAAAACTTGGCTATAATCAAGGAACAGACAAGGCAAGGCACCCAGCGTATGTGGTGAGCATATTTGTGGTGGGTCTTACCTTCAGACCAAGCATCATGTGTTCTCTTTACAACAGCTCTTGTCTGGCTCTCCCAGGTTCAAGTCTGTTGCTCAGGTAATTTTTTTATTATCATCTGTAACAACTAAAATTTTCAATTTTGTTTTTGACAAGTAAAAATGGGTTATTTGAATTTATTGTGCTTTTGATATTGAATTATTTTAAGCTTGAATATGCCCCCTTTGAAATTAAAAATTGCCTATCAAACTTATAGCTTTCAGATACTTTAGCCATGAAACGAGTTTACTGTTCCAAACTCTTCTATGGTGCAATCGTTACTGCCTGGTTTGGAATTAGGATAGGTTTGGCTTTGCAGCATTTCAGATTCCATGTTCAACAGATTGAGAATTGAAGAAAAGGGTTTCAAGGAATTAGGCATTTTAAGCCATAGTAATGTTGCATTCTTTGGTAAATAATCCTCCAAATGATTTATTAGAAAGTAGGTTTTACATAAGGGTGATGTGTTTTCTTGATGAAACCTTTAATTTGAGTACACCATGGTTCCCTGACTAAAGCCCAATTTTAAAAGAATGCTGAGGACTGTGAGATTGCCTTTCATACTGGTATTTTTTGTTAGGTTGTCATTTCTAACCAATGCCTTCTAAATACTACTTAGTTCTTTGAATGCTTTTTTATATATATATATATATATATATATCATTGAGCTTTTTGAAGATGGCAAGTAATAAATAAATAATTTTTTTAATATTATATTAATTAATAAATTTATAATTCAGATATCATATTAAAAATTTTAAAACTCAAAATATAATATTAAATATTTTACTATAATTAAGAATCATTCATTACATTAATTCCAAAATAATTCAAGGAGATTAAATTGTAAAAAGTTAATGTTATGAATGACTTAGGCAAAACCAGAGAATAACTAAAGAGGGTAAAACAGTGAATTTAATGGAGGAAGAGGAGACATATATTAATTTTGGTAGGTTTAGTTATAAATTTAAAATGGTATAAATAAATTTTGGGGGCTGTGACTTTCGGTTGACTCTGCCTTGTAAATAACTACTAAGTTATGTTTAATTTAATACTTAAATTTTAAAATTTTTTAATATAATATTTGAACTATAAATTTATTAATTAAAATGATATTCACTCTTAATGTGATTAGACTCAAATGATAACATACAATAAACAAACAATCCTTCCAAGTACTATATTAATTAATAGATTTATAATTTAAATATCATATTAAAAATTTTTAAAATTTAAATATTATATTAAATATTTTATTATAATATAAGAATCATTCATAATATTAATTCATTATAAAAATTAGTCATATTTTTGGATAGGAAATTTTGTGCAGACTTGTTGATTACTTTGTCGCATGATGCAATTTCAGGAATTTCTATCGAAGATCTCCTCGAGTTATTAGTCATTACCTCTTTACTTCAATTGGATGTAAATGATAATGAGATAGTTTAGAATTTAGTTATTTCTTCTTTTATCTTATGTAATAAGAAAATGATTTTTACTTTTCGACTAATAAATAAGTATTGAATATTCAGTTAATTTCTTAGCAACATTCATGTTTCATGGATTTAACTACTGAACTTATAGTCGCAAGTTTTTTAAACATTATATATTTGCTGCTAGGTTCTACCTCTCCCCATAGTGAATATATAGTGATAAGCCTTATTTTTTTAATAAAAATTATAATAATTATAATAAGGTATTATATTAATATATTAAAAATCACTGAATAATCAAATGAATAAATCAATCAATAAATCAAAAGCTAATTAGATAAATTTATCTTAAAATTGAATCAAACTCATACAAAAATAAAATTTGAATCCATTTCCTCTTTCTTTTTTTTTTGTTTGATTTAACGGTAAAAGATTCTTAAATTTTGTTCAATACATTCTTTTTTTGGATCAATTCAAGCTAATTTATCTATATTAAATCTAACAAATTCATAAAAAATTACTTCCTACAATCTTCCAAAAACTTTTAACCTATAAATATATATATTTATATATATATATATATTTGATTTCGTACCAAGGAAAAACAAGGTTGTACTAAAAAGATTGTTGCACACTAACTTGAACCAACAATCTTTTTAGTACAACCTAAATTCTCCTTGGCACGAAATCAAATTCTCATTGACAATAATCCCTACCTTTTTTTTTGTGACAATAATCCCTACTTTTATAATTAGTTGGCAAACCCGCCTTATCCGTATTAATCATTATATTTTGGTCATTCCTTCTAAAAAATCGCTGAAGTGCTTTAAATTAGAAATTTAGCTTCCTAAAATTACTTTGCGATTCATATCAAAGACAAACATCATGCCAAAAACTTACACCTCTACCCTCCATAAAAGAAACCACCCCTTTACTAGGATCTTGGAAGGAACCAAAATTCGCAGAAATAAAAGTTTGGGAATGGCCAGCACCAACACAACATTTGCTTTTCTTTGTCTTCTTCTAATGTCTGAGGTACAAGATTTTAGGTTTATAAGAACAATTTTTGTTATCATTTTCGAATTTGTGTCCTGAATTATGTTCATAAATTTTGTTAGAACTTAAATATAATAGTTAGGCGATTAGAATTTTTATCAACCTCAATTTTTATTTTTAATATCATTAATTTTTTTTATAAATATTTTTTTAATTTATCAAATTTCAATAAATTAAATATTTTTGTAAAAAATATTTATCCAAATAAAATAATTACAAATGAAGGCATTTTAAAATTTCTTCATTTTAAATTTCTTCAAAATTTTCTATTCAAACGCGCTGTTAGTTACTTCTTAGCTCCTGTTACCAAATTATTTCTTTCTTAGGTTTCCCTAAACACGTTTAATCATTTCTTTTTGACAACTTTCAGGTTGGGATGCTCATGGTTGAAGCTGAAAGAGAAGGTAAGAGAGTTTTTGGATAATGCATTCTTTATTTATTAATATTTCATAGATCATTTGAATTAATTGTTTTATAATTATTTACTTAAGCGTTTTTTACTAAAATATTGTGATTTGAAAACTTATTTCTCATCTAGCAAATTATATATATATATATATATATTTCTCATCTTATTTTATTATAAAAAATGTATTTTCAGTTTTTAATATTTTTCATCATATCATATTTTTTAAATTTTTAAAAAAATAAAGAAGTTATATTAATTTAAATAAAATCTTCATTCCATTATGCATTTTTTTATCTCTCAATCTAAAATTATTTACGCGCACGTGTTCATATATATATATATATATATATATAAAGAGATTAATTGATATTAACATAAACTTTTTTAACTTGATTTCGAATTAAAAATATACAAACGAAATTTCCTTAATTATGTGAAACAAAGTCAAGCAACTTTCACCTTCCATTCCTCATTTCCCTAAAATTTTTTTATTAGCCCGAATCATGGTCTATCCAATAGAGCTTAATTCAGATACTTCTTTTTCTTTCTCTAAGATTGGATTAAATGTACGAAGCTATACCTTTTTTTTTTTTTTTTGGCTAAAAATCCAAACCTAAATTAATACAAACCAAACTTCAAAAAATACGAAGACCGGATGGAAAAAAAAAAAAAATTCACATGCACCCATGTAATTATCAAATGAAATGACAAGAGAATTTAATGGAAATTGACTGACTCTTGACAAAAAAGTGAAACTTTAAGTGCAGGAGACGTACATTTTTAGGAGGAGAAAAGAAAAGGAGTGAAAAGCAAGAAACATTTAGTTGCGGTATACCATTTTTCTTGTTTTTTTTTTAATTAAAAAATGATGATGTAAAAAAAATTAAAACTTAAAAAATAATTTTAAAAGTACAACAATATGAAAAAATAAGTTTTCAAATCACAGTACTTTGTTAAAAAGAAAACACTCAATTACATAATGCATGAACATTATGTCAAGTTAAAAATTTTAAACACTCGTCATTTTTTCCTTTTGGAAAATTTTACAAAAAAATAGCTAAAAATCTTATCTCAGAATTGCCCAATTTATTATTGGATATCGTTTCCAGATTGCCAGACCAAGTGTGCATTCAGGTGCAGCAAGTCATGGAAGCCGAAGATGTGCCTTAAAACATGCAACACTTGCTGCCAAAGGTGCAATGATGGGTGCGTGCCTCCAGGCCCTACTGCTAACAGGGATGTGTGCCCTTGCTATGCACAAATGAAGACGCATGGGAATAGATACAAGTGCCCTTGAAACCAATGATTTCTTCTTAATTAAACACAACCACCTCTGAAGGATTTGAATTTAATTAGTAATTAAGAGAGTGTTGTTTGTAAGACACTTGACTTTAATTAAATAAAAAAAAAGGAGTGAAAAGAAAATTGTAATTACTTGTATGTTTTTGGTGTCCTCTTATTATCTATATGTACAAGTTTAAGCTTTTTGCTTATTTATTTGTCTGTTATGTTTGTTTATTTTAATATTTTATTATTATATATATTTTTAGATATTTTAATTACTTAAAACATTTTTATTAAACACTTAAAATTTTTAATTACCCTTTTTTTAAAACACATTTTAAATGTATTTTCTTTTTTAGCGCAACATTAATGTTAAACTAACCCCTAATTAAAAGAAAAGCGAAGAGGCAATATTTATCTTCTTATTGATCAAGAATATGTAAATACATCAAATTGGAACAAGTAATATAGAATTAGTAGAGCATCATTTTCACAGAGATTGAAATATATGAAAGAAAATTAAGTATTAAAATTGTTCACCTTTAATTATATCCAAAAGATCGAAAATTAGAATGCAAATAACTAAATAACTATTTAAATTAATTAATTAAAACACAACTTAATTAAGCATGCAAAATAAACTAAATATGAACTTAATAACTCAAATTTTAAAAAATAGAATGTAAATTGACTTAGCAAACTTAAAAACATGTAAATTAAATCTGAAGTGATATGCAAGATTATAAACTAATCAACTTAAACTTAAATCAAAATGAAAATAATTTAATTAAAGCAATTAAATCCTAAAACATGCAAGGACTATTAAACTTTGAATTAACAATTTAAACTTAACTAATTAAATTGAATTTAAACTTTAGAACTTCAAACAGAATCTAAATTAAACTCAATTGCATGCAAACAACTTCAATTTAATGAATTAAACTTCAAACTACAAATTAAATTAAGAACATAACTTAAAAAGTACAAATTACGTGAATTAAAAGCATTTAAAGAGAGAAAACGAAAATTGAATTGAATTAAAAACAAGAAAATAATTTAAGAAAACTTGAATTAAATTGAAAACAAAATAGAACTTGAATTTAAAAAAAAACTGAAATTGAACTTTGCATAAACTTAAAATAACTTAAAGAAAGCTTAAAAACATGAAAAATAAAGAACAAGAAAACTTAAAAAAGCTAACTACTTCAGGTTAGGTTATCACCTCAAACTCTGCTTCAGTTTCTCCATAAATAAAGGATAGCTATTTATAGAACAAAAATACAAAGAATCTTAAACAAATAAGTAGAAATGGTGGCTAGCTTTGATTATATCTCATTTTTGTAGATACCAAATTTTATCCGGGTTTTTTGGGTTCTCCGAATCGAAACTGGGTTCTAAATTTGTTAGGGCTTTATCACATTCATGGGTCGAGGCTCGATTTTTAATCCATTTGGGTTGGTGTCCAATTCCTCCTTTTTGGGCCTAAGCCAACCCATTGTTTTTAATATTAAATAATAATTATAATAAATAATTAATAAAATATAAAAAAATTAATTAATTAATTAAAAAAATAGAAAGTAGAGGGCTGGTGTATAGCACCGCCGCTGCCCCCTATCCAACCCTTGTGTAGCCACCCTACCGCCACCCTACAGCCACCCCTATAGCCTACCTTAGCCACATCTACAGCTACCCAGATCCCTAGCTCTTTAAAGCCCTAGCTTTTTCCTCTCTCTCTCCTTGCGGATAGATCTTAGAACACCTCAAAAACCTCCAAGCTCAGATACATAGATACTATACATTTCGCACTCCTAAATGACCTAGCCCTTCGCACGCCCTGAACCTCTAAATCCCAGCCTTCAAACACTGCATGAAACCTTTCACCAGGCACCCTCAACCTTACCCAATACCTATTCCCCTTCTAAACAAGCAACCAAAAAATAAAACAACAAAAATCCATAAAAAAACACATAACAACAGTCCTCTCTGTAGGGAGGAACCGTCATCGCCGAGCAAGCCCTCAAAATAAACAAAAAATAAAAAGTCAGTTTCTCTTAAAAAAAAAGGAAAAAAAGAGAGAAGACAGAAACTTTAAGCCCTGATCTATGTCGTGGGGGTTATTTTTGGCGAAAAAGAGACCAGATCTAGGAAGATCATGTTGAAGAGAGCTTCTGAAAGTTTTTTGGTGTTTTTTGACCACCAATGGCAACCACCTGTGGCGGTCGGCATGGCGGTCAGCGCGGCAGCACAGGTGACCCGACACCGAACATCGATAGAGGCTTTGTAGCTCTCCTTGAAACTCTGATTTTTTTTTGGAAGGGGGTTTGGAATAAATTGAAAAAAATTGATTTTATATATAAAGCCGAAGCCCAAAACGATGTCATTTTGAGACCCTAGGATACGTGTGTTGACCTGCGACTAGGGGTGTAAATGATACATTAATACTCACAAGCTACTCGGGTTCTATTCGAGTAAAACTTGAATTCGATTCGATTATTATCGAGTCAAGCTTGAGCTCAAGTAACTCGATTCATCGATCGAGTCGAGTTCGAGTATTCTTATACTCGGCTCGAGTAGCTTGCGAGCCTAATCGAGCTTTTATATTTAAATATTTTTTATTATTTTAATTAATAAAATATCTCGAATTCGAGTTCGAGTTCGAGCAAAAATAATCAAGCTTTTGTTGAGTATAAGAATCGATCTTATTTTTACATATTAATCGAGCAAGCTCGATTTCAATCACGAATCGAGCTCGAGCTAAAAAAATGAAACTCGATCGAGTTCAAACTGAGTATCGAGTAATGAGTTGGGAGTCGAGCTCGAGCTCGAGCTTCTTACTGTATCAGCTTGACTCGACTTGCCCTACCTGCGACCCGACCTGGGGTCCGCGTAAACCTACCCGTTGACCCGTTCCCTCAACAGCCTCTGATCGTATCAGATTGAACCAAACGTTAGACCGGACCAAACTAGCGTTGATCGGACCGTATTTTTTTTTTGAATTTTTTATATATTATTTTTGTTTTTTAAATTTTATTATTAATATTTATGCATATTAAAATATGTAAATTTGCTAGAATAGATTTTTGTTGTTGATTTGTAATAATAACAAATAAATAAATAAAAGAAAATAATAATAAAAATGCTAAAAATGTTTAAAAAATAATAAATAAAATAATAATAATCTAAAAATGATAATAAGAATAAAATATATATTTTTTATATTCCCTGCTTAGATGTTGGAGGGAATAAAAATATCAAACTTTAAAATATAGTTTCACTTAGATGTTGGAGAATTATAAATAAAAAATTAATTAAAATTTAAAAAATATAAAAAAAGAGATAATAATAATAATAATAATAATAATAATAATAATAATAATAATTGATAATAATAAATTTCCATAAAAAAAAATATGAAAATTAATTTTTTAAAATCATAACAAATTGAATTTGCTCTGAAAGTCTACCTTGATGTTGGGGATTTTTAGAGATGTTCGCCTTTTAAAAAAAAATTTCAAAAAATTGAAACCAAAATTCAAAATTTCAAAAACTTAAAATCCAAAACCCTAAATCCTCTAAACCCTAAAGTTAAAACCCCAAAATTAAACCCTAAACCCTCCAAACCCTAAAACTAAACTCTAAAACCTTTAAACCCCGAAATTGAAATCCTAAACCCTCCAAGTCCTAAAACTAAACCCTAAACTCTCAAACCCCAAAACTGAAACCTTAAAATCCAAAATCTCAAACCTAAAAAACTAAAACCCTAAAATCCAAAATCTTAAATTTTAAAATCCAAAATCCCAAATCCTAAAAGTCTAAACCCTAAATTTAACACACAATCCCTAATCATTACCCAAAAATCATGCAAGTCTTAAAACCTCGACCTAAGCCTATACTCAAAATCATTTCAAAACTTTAAGGATACGTGCAAAAACCTCAAGTGAAATATTTTGTTCTCAAATGTCGCCTAGATGATTGGGTATTTAAAGAAATCTTATTTCATTAAGTTTTTCTCATGAGTCCTTAATTCGCTTTAACAATAGGTTAATAAAAAATAAAAAAGTAAAATAATAATAAAATGAGATCTTAAATATGAACAGTCGCACCTAAGCTCTGCCTAGATATTGGAGAGTAGGTGGTCTTATTATATTTAAGAATCCATTTTTTTAAATTACATTTTATCATCTGGTATAATATTCATAGGCATACATGTATCATTATATTATTGTTGACACTCATTTCGTATTTCTCTGTCTTTAATTTTTATTTGTTACTTGACAATACCATTATTTACTTTCTCTTATAAAATGTTTTACAAGACAAAAATAAATATATATTTTTTAAAGTTGTGATGTTATAAAATAAAACAAAAATAACATTCCAAAGGAAATAATTCTTGGTATCTACCTAGATATTGGAGAGTCACTAACAATTATCTTTCACAAAGAGTGTTATTTTTTATTTTAAGGAATATTGTATTAAATCTTAAGCGAAAAGAGTTATTTTAAATTATACCTAGATGTTAGATAATTTTAAGATAATTCTTTAACTTAAAGATTTCTTCAATATTCCTAAAAAAAAAAGAATTTTAACCAATTTTTTTTTAAAGTGAAGGGAATTAGTGCTAAATTTCAAATTGAAACCATTTTTATCCAACACTGAAAATAACGCATAATTAAATGGTACCGATTTATTAGCGTTGTGGGGGTGCTAATCTTTCTCCACACGTAACCGATTCCCGGACCCAACCTGGTTTCCGTAGACAGAAATTTATCTTTTTAATAAACTTTAAACCCGCTTTTATAGTTTTATTAAAAGTTAAATTTTTGGGTGGCCAATTACACCCTAAAAAAGATTGGTGGCGATTTCTCATTTTTTTTATTTTAAAATCCATTACGTCTGGTGGTCCTAAAATCGTTACGATAGCTTAATGACTCCATTGGGGAGTGTTTTGAGAGTTAAGCCAAAATCTTAATTATGCACTATTGACAATGGCTGGATTTAATTGGTTTTATT